ACAACAGGGCACCTGACACACACAACAGGGCACCTGACACACACACAACAGCACCTGACACACACAACAGGGCACCTGACACACACAAGGGCACTGACACACACAACACACACAGACACCTGACACATACACGGGCACCTGACACACACACACACACACAACAGGGCACCTGACACACACAACAGGGCACCTGACACACACAACAGGGCACCTGACACACAACAGGGCACCTGACACACACAACAGGGCACCTGACACACACAACAGGGCACCTGACACACACAACAGGGCACCTGACACACACAAGAGGGCACCTGACACACACAACAGGGCACCTGACACACACAACAGGGCACCTGACACACAAGAGGGCACCTGACACACCTGACACACACCTTGACACAGGGCACCTGACACACACAACAGGGCACCTGACACAACACACAGGGCACCTGACACACACAAACAGGGCACCTGACACACCACAGGGCACCTGACACACACACCAGGGCACCTGACACACACACCAGGGCACCTGACACACACAACAGGGCACCTGACACACACAACAGGGCACCTGACACACACAGGGAGACACACACACAGGGCACCTGACACACACAACAGGGCACCTGACACACACAACAGGGCACCTGACACACACAACAGGGCACCTGACACACACAACAGGGCCACACACACACACGGGTGAGGGCACACACACAGGGCCAGACACACACAACAGGGCACCTGACACACACAAGAGGGCACCTGACACATACAACACCTGACACACACACACACATACACAGGGCACCTGACACACAACAACAGGGCACCTGACACACACAACAGGGCACCTGACACACACAGGGCACCTGACACACACGGGCACCTGACACACACAGGGAACCAGACACACACAACAGGCACCTGACGGGCACCTGACACACACACCTGAGAGGGGCACCTGACACACATGACAACACAACAGGGCACCTGAGGGCACCTGACACACACAGAGGGCACCTGACACACACAACCACACTGACACACACAGGGCACCTGACACACACAACAGGGCACCTGACACACACAACACACACACAGGGCACCTGACACACACAGGGCACACACAGACACACACAGAGGGCACCTGACACACACAACAGGGCACCTGACACACACACAGGAGGACACACACAAGGGCACCTGACACACACAAGGGCACCTGACACATGACACACAGGGCACCTGACACACACAGGGCACAGGGCACCTGACACACACACAACAGGGCACCTGACACACACAACAGGGCACCTGACACACACACAGACCTGGGCACCTGACACACACAACAGGGCACCTGAGGGCACACACACGGGACCTGGGCACCTGTGACACACACGGGAGGGAACCAGACACACACACACAGGGCACCTGACACACACCAGGGCACCTGACACACACGGGAGCACCAGACACATACAACAGGGCACCTGGCACACACAGGGCACCTGACACACACAAACAGGGCACCTGACACACACACAGGGCACACACAGGGGCACCTGACACACATAACAGGGCACCTGACACACACAACAGGGCACCTGACACACACAACAGGGAGGGACACCTGACACACACAGGGACACACTGACACACACAACAGGGCACCTGACACACACAGGGCACCTGACACACAGAGGGCACCTGACACACACAACAGGGCACCTGACACACACAAGAGGGCACCTGACACACAAGAGGGCACCTGACACACACAACAGGGCACCTGACACACACAACAGGGCACCTGACACATACAACAGGGCACCTGACACACACAACAGGGCACCTGACACACACAACAGGGCACCTGACACACACAAGAGGGCACCTGACACACACGGGAGACACAGAGGCACCAGGGACACACACACAGGGACGGGACGTGACACACACGTGACACACACACGGGAGGGAACCAGACACACACAGGAGGGCACGTGACACACACGGGAGGGAACCAGACACACACAGGAGGGCACGTGACACACACGGGAGGGAACCAGACACACACGGAGAACACACACACACACACACGTGACACACACACAGGAGGCACCACACACGACACACACACAGGGCACCTGACACACACAACAGGGCACCTGACACACACAACAGGGCACCTGACACACACAGGGCACAGGGCACCTGACACCTGACACACACAACAGGGCACCTGACACACACAAGGGCACCTGACACACACAATGACACACACACAACACACGGGCACCTGACACACACGGGAGGGAACCAGACACACACAGGAGGGCACGTGACACACACGGGAGGGAACCAGACACACACACACACACACACAGGGACCCAGGACACACCACAACCTGACACACACAGGAGGGCACCAGACACACACAAGAGGGCACCTGACACATACAAGAGGGCACCTGACACACAACAGGGC